GTTGTCTGGGTAGCAGTCGTCCGAGGGATTGTGAGCGTTCGGATACCATTCTCAGATGTCGTACGATGTCTGCAATTTTCCTGTGAAGTCTGGGTGCAGGCTGTGGACAGCAGCGCTGTTTTCCTACATCTGCATCTCTCACCCTGCAAACACGCCGACACCACTGATGCAGCATTAAGATGCAAAGTCACACTTGCGGTTTGTGATGCTTCATTGACATTGCTGCATGCGTTGGCCACATCTTGAAAATACGGGAGGTAAAAATGAAGCTTACTTTTAATACACTGATCTGTTATTTATTGAGGCATTGCTGCAATTTCTACACAACCTTCTAAGATGCAAGTATCTTCCAATTATTTTCGCGCATTGAGTCACTGCGCATTTATTTACTTGTGTCTGATTTTGCACACTCGACATTCAAAAAGACACTGCATGCACTACGCACACCAAACTGTCAAGTAAATGATGCTCTGTTATCATATTCACTTGTCCCTTACACTGCGAATGAAATAAAAAAAAAATGACATTTACCACCTTTTCGGAACGAAGAGCGTTGGTAGTGTGTCTGGGCATAGCACATGCCTCATCCCAGTGTTCAATCCATCCTCAATCCGCGGATCGAGGATATAATCTTCCGGCATGAAGTGCCAACCACAAACAAGCGCATGCTTCTGCGTCGCCGGAAGGCCAATGCATTGCAGTCAGGTAAGGCGCTGCGCTTCATTTTTCGGCAAGCGATGTCAAATGTGCCCATGCTGATCATCAGGCTTGCATCCTATTACTGAGCACACTATTACTGAGCATGCTATTACTGCGGCATTTCACTGCCTCGAGAATGGTGGTAATATGATCTAGTGTCTGCATTAGTGTTTACTTAGACGCGTAGACGCGGTCAAAACAGATGAGGGCAATCAGTGCGCGAACGTGTAGGAGCGTTCCATTTGCTTCTACGCCTGTCGTCTGCTCGATGCTCTGACCGCGGGGACACGAACACATGCAAAACGCTGGCACATTAGCCCTGCATTTTGTAGCATTTCACGGGAAAAATTTTTTTTTAAATGTGCACAATTTTTTTATTGCATCTCATTTTTTATTTCGAGGTTTAATAATCTCTTAAAGCAACAAATACATAAACTACGCTTGTTGTGTAACATAATTTTTGCCATGTCACGTGGTATACTGTTGACGTCAGAGCAGAGTCGTCTACGTAGAGGACCAACGTCACTGCATTGCCGTGTACGTAGGGCCATTCATACTCCCTCGTCATGCCCTCATTCTCTAGACATGCGCCGGCAGAGGGGAGGGAAAGCAGCGTTCACCTTGAAATTTAACCCATTTTCGCGGCGTGTAGCATTGCAAATTTCGGCAAACGTGATCATGAACGCCTCGTCTACGCATTGTGCTTGTCAGCTCAAAATTGTCAAAACCTGGTGAGTGGCCCTTTGACATTAGCGTGTGCGACATCCACTGCTGAGGTGTCCCACTTAGCTGCAGACAGTTGCGGTGTTCACTTTTCTTTTCTAATCATAGAACCACTCCCCCCTCCCCTCGCATCCAGTGAAGCAGGCCGATTAGCGAAACAAAAAAAAATCACTGCATATCCACGTAGTGAATAATGATGCGTAAGGCAAAGCATCTGTGCGTCCGTCTATCTTTTCGTGCGTACATCCGTGCATGCATCCATCAATGCATGCGTCCATCTGTCTGCCCGTCCATCCTTACATGCGTCCGATCGTCTGTGAATGCATCTGTCTGTGTGTCTGTCTGTCCGTCCGTGCATGCATCCGTCTGTGTGTCCGTCCATCTGTCTGATGAATGTGCTGTGTTGGCTATGCCAGAGGAACATGCGACTTCCCTGGACCATGAGGAACTTTGCCCCTAAAATATGAAGTGAGGTGCAATGCAGATTGAACCGTTAGATTAAATATAGAGTGGTAATTATCTAAAATGAATTATATCAAGACACGGACATTTCCATGACATTTCGAATTACGAGCTCACTCAGAGAGATTCTGGTTTTATACCTGCTAACTTCCTTATTAGCAAACAGGCGCACATGTACCAATTGCATTTAAACCAGTTCTAAGTTAGCTTAGATGTAACTGTGTATATGCAAATCACGTTTTGTACACCTGTAGCAGGCGATCGTATGGCCTTATTGCCGCAATAGGTCATTTTCAAGCAATCCCAGAACCCCTCGCTGGTGCGTGTAACACTATGGAAAGTCTGTATGTTGAGTACGCTAGCTGTCCTACCACCCTCTCCTCGTTGGTGCCGTGGAATCCAACGAAAAAAAAAGTATCCAATAAAAAGTCACAGTTCCTCCCCAAGGGCAAAGCAATGAATGCGATAGCAATAACTTAGAATGTAACAGTGAGAACGGCTAGCAGATCCAAACGTGCTGCACTGCTCACACATAAATGACGCACAAAAACAACACACACAGGACAAGAGTTAACAACGTTTAAAACTCGTCAGTTGACGCGCTGTTTAAACAAAAACAATGCGCGAAATGTAATCAGAAGTACAGATATGAGTGCAAACTAACGATTATCCCAGTTGTTACTTTGCTGCGTTAGAAAAGTGTGCTTTTTTGGCAAACGGGGCCTGCCTAGCGAGCGAAGTTGACTTTTGTAGCCCAGGCAACTAACGCAATCATTCCAGTGAAAGGCCAAGGCACACGATTCTCCCCACCGAAGAATAAGTGCAAACGCACAAGCACTTGACCCCCTGCACCCATGCATGGGGCAAAGTACATGTGGAAGATAAGCACGTGTTGGTGCATCGCGACGAGCTGGGCGGCTTTTTTTTTTTTTAGTTTTCCAATATGTAGATACGTAAACATGTACGGTACATGACGGCAGCAATGGCAATGGTAAAAAAGTCACAGCTTTGCCGCAAATGCGAAGCAATGAACGCGATAGCGACAAATTGAAAGGTCACGCGCGGAATGGCAAGCAGATTGCACGTGCCCCATGTTTCTAATGCACAAATGTACTAGGTACAGATGAACGCGTATAAGTGTCTCAGTTGTTACGTCGCTGTGCATGAAAAGTGCGACGTTTTCGCAAACGGAGAATGTGCAATGATTGCAGTGTTCTTTGTGCGCCCAGTATCTATAACAGAATCATTCCGGAAAATTTCCAAAGCCAGCCAAGACGTACGATCGTCCCCACCGCGAGATAAAGGCTGAGAGTCCACTCACCTACTCTCTGCGGGACAGAGTATGCGTGGAAAATAAGAGGGCAAGTGAGCTGCATCGTAACGATGTGACGACGTGTGCTCATTGCACCAGCCATCTTGCTGTTAATGCTGAAAACACAAAAGTTCCCCCGCCCCCTGCCCGCCCAGAAATGCCCGTCAGTAGCGGTAAGTAGTAGATATAAATAGCTAGCGGTTTGAATGTTGAAGGAAGTGCTCCTCAGTGGCTCAGTGGTTAATGCCTCGCACATGTCTCAAAGGCCCCAAGTTTGATTGCACGCGCTGGAGTCCTTTTTGTGGATTATTTTTCTTTCTTGCATTTTCATATATAGCTACGTATACATACACGGTGAGTGACGACGTCGACACCAGTGGCAAAATCCAGCCGAGTGTCCATATAATTGCTATCACAATAAACCAGCTGAGACTGTCCATGTATTTGCTATCGCAATAAAAAAATGTCACCGTTTTGACTACAGTGCAATCCTACATACTACACATGTCGAACACACTTGCATGAAACTCTGTGCATAAAATGCGAAAGGAATCAGTGTATACCAGTGCATATTACTGAGTTAATGTATATTATGGGAGTGGCCACCGCGAGTAATATAATTTACTGAGAGGTTGTATGTGGCATATAGCAGTTAACCGGCATGCGAGTTATCGCCAGCCGATAGATGAAGTCAAAATGCACAATCAGGAACAATGTGAGCATGCACACCGAATTTTCTATTTGTAGCTCTTGCTGCGCAAAAAAACACAACTCGGATTGAATTGTTGCAGTTAATTACAGACGCGAAAATTTCACAATCACACCTTCGTGCATAAAGCAAAACAAAAGAAGAAATCAGCAGCAGCGAAAGTACTATTTCCAAGCACGCCCCGAAAAGAACACCAAATTTATGAGAACAGTTCGAACACCATGAAAAAAATTGGGGTTAACAGTTCACTCAACATTAGACCGTGTTAAAGTACAAGTACGTCACAAACACAGTCAAAACCACGCACATAACTTGTAATGGTTTAATCTGTGACATTGTTACTAGTATTATACACGCTGTTTCGAACATCGTGATAGGAAAGGTGATAGAAAACAGCAACAAAGCTTGCAATATTCACGCTGCATGCAAGAGCAGCACTCGTCAGCTGCCACTTGCCACTCTTCATTGTCATTGCAAATAAAAGTTTTCTTTTAGTATTGCTTGGGAAAGAAAACACCTTCCATCCATTTCTAGAATAGTTTGTGCTGTGTGACACTGAGCATGCAGTTATTTGCAGGACTGGCAACAAATCAGGCGGGCGACAAGGCAGAAGCCGTTGCGTATACGTTTGAGCAAGTGCAGCGCTGCCAAAACATGGTGGACGCGCGCGGCGAGGTGGCGTCGGTCATTTCGAAGAATAACCGCACTATGAACAGGGCAGTGCGCATCGAGGCACTCTACGATCAAGACCACCAGACACGCCCCTTTCTCTCTTTCAGTGTACAGACGGCGGGAACACGAAGCAGCCTACGCTGATTCGCCCGAGAGCAGTGCCCCGGGAAATTAAAGAAATAGTCAGAAAAAAAGAAGACTGTATGTAAGACACGCCCACGCCAATCTCCACTTTTTTTTACGTTGTTAGTATGGGCTTTGAAATCCATTTCTAAAAGCAAACTTGCGAAGAGAAGAATAACTATTAAGATGCATGCACCCATAGAAACTTGTACGATATAGAAAAGAACAAAATGGTTTCCCCAATCAGCACCGAAACCGCCACTTCAGAAACTTAAATCATAACTAAGATGATGTGCTCACCTAAGATCGCTGCCCAATGCAGTGGCGTTCGGAAGAGGTCATCAAGTGCATTCACCTCACTGTTGCTTCGTTGAGTCTGAAGAAAGGTACACAAAATCCATTTTATAACAAAAAGAAAAAACAACTTTCCCAGCTCTCATAGCACATGCCCCAGTCTTTAGTTTAATGAAGCCATGCAAGGGTATCAAGAAATGAACGCATGATATGTTATACGGTACCAGGGTAATATGCAATTCATTCAACTGAATTGAGATGGAAAAGTCTAGTAGTTCAATTGAAATGTTTCTATGTTTGTTCTATTCATATTTCACAAATCTGAATGCAATTTAACACTTATGGGTTCTCTCTTGTGCTGTTTTTAGCACTGTTTGCAACGAAAATTAAAGTAAACGAGAACTGAACTTTGTGGCGGAGCATGTGCACCCAGCCACCCTTTCCCTTTCACGGCAGTGCGACAGCCCAGTTGCCAGGACATGTCTGTCCCTTCGAGACACGAGTCAATAAAGCCTCTTGCGAAGAGATGGAACACCCCGCAACTGGCACTCGCGATTCTCCTTTCCCGAAATGCGGAATGGGTTTCCTCTCCCTCCGCGAAGGAATGAATTCTTGTCAGGGAGAGGAAAACTGGGACGGTGGAGAAAACTAGCGTGCAGACAGTCGGACGGGCTCTTTTGCACCGGCCACCAAACAGGAAGGGCAAATCCAGAACCCGCTGCAAGCCAAGGATGACAACGACAGACGTGTGAGCGTCTACCCTTTGTTATCTGAAGTCCCTCTACGCGACATTTACGTGTTATTGCTAACGTATAGCAATAAAGTGCCGTTTTGTTGATCAAGCCTGTGGCCTTATTTGCCCGAGCCCGTGTAGCTGCGATGAGACAAGCTACGGAAAGGGGACGTTAATCGTGCATGGTGCGACTGTGTGTGGCTAAAACATTAACAAGGCTTCTGCGTCAGCTGTACATAGGACAGACCCCCTTCATCTGGCACCCAATGCAAGGAATTTGGCAACGCGGCTAGTTTTTGACGCAAGCGACTATGACAGTTCCCCGAACGAAGGACAACAGGCACATCAGAATTCCCAGATTTGCACATGTTTTCTGATGTCGCATCGCAGAGTGTCAATCCTCTGGCTAACACGGGGGCACTGTTAGGACTTCCCAAAAGCGTAGATTTTGGTACTTTCACCCGGGACGACCAGGAGATTGCAGAGACTGCGTTGGCAGAGACTAGGCCAACGACCGAAACGTCATGCATGGCACTCCAACACCTCGCGACGCAAACAGAGAGGCGCCACCACAAGCTGCTCAGACACACGCCGCAACTGTATGCGGGTCTTCGGGCAAGAATTGGCCCTCGAGCGAAGTACTCTTACAGAATGCGCTGTCAGTTATGCAAAGCCTCGCGAGCACCTTGCAGAACACAGCGCAGGCCTCCATGCAGAATGTGCGACCACGTGTCAAGGCAGACATGCCTACCTACACTGGTTACCATTACTGCAAATGCGCCAACGAGTATCTCAACCGGTTACTCAATTATCAGCAGGCGATGGGTCTTCCTGACGCCAAACTTCTCGAGTGCATGGTCTTGATGTCGCTCAAGGAGCAAGCGGCTCGATCATTCCGACTAACCGGACATCGTGCCGGCATAGTAGAAGAGTTCCGCGACAGCTTCCACAGCGAATTCCAACTGGCTAATTATGAGTGGTGTTTGCGGAGGCAATTGGAGCTACGCACCCAGCATCCCGAAGAATGCTTGCTGGAATATGTACGGGCGATGGATGAACTGTATCGTCTCGCTAACACTGATGCCACCAATGCAGAAAAAAGTCAAGCGCGTTACGTGACAAGCGCGCCCGAATTTTGCGGCGCACTTCAGGATTTGCAAGTTTGCAGACCCAGAAGAGCTTGCCACCGAGGTGAAGCGCATACAAGGGGACATCCTCGCAGCGTGATCCTATCACCCACCTCTGCCGGCAGCGCAGTCAATCGAGCCTCGCTGTGCGTGGAATGGCGGCACGGTAGCTTCAGAAGCGTTTAGGGGCAATGCATCAGCATCGTTCGCTGATGAGCACGTACCACGCGGCTGGGAGCTGTCAGATTGCGCTTTGGACCCCTATGCTTACGTGCTCCGTACGGCCCAGGGCGTGCGTGACATTCCACTGCAGGAGCGCGCTGGCCTAACGCTGGCCTGCAGGCCTAACGAGCAGTGCAACTCGGAGCGAAGACCACCTGATCAAGGCGACTTACGATCGAGCCAGCATAGTTTCCTTGGTCCTTGCTATTGGCGCAGCGTGCCGGGGCACATCGCCCGGGAATGCGACCGCACACTGGGTCAAGCACAAACGAGCTGCTAACAATGGCTCGAAAGAAGATCGTAGCACTTTGGGACACTGGGACAAGCATTTTTTTTTTATTTCGAGATGATGTGTTGCACTATTTCCATCAGAATAATATTCGCTTGAGACAGAGCAACACCATCTTCCGCCTTCCTACGGGCACAGCACAATCGAGCGGCGTGGCTAGGCTAGTGATCCTCTGGGCAAGACACGCGAGGCGACAATGTTTCGTGCATCTTCCTGGGCTGTCAATGCCTCTAATCCTGGGTCGAAACTTCCTTGCCAAGACGGGTATTGTCATTGACATTGCAAACGATGGTTACCAAGAGCGTGACGTAGACGCGCGAAAGCTTTTTTTGAAGGTGCCCGCATTGACAAAGGCATGCCAATCGCAGGGAGAGGTGGGAGTACGCGAGGAGGAAGGCCCACTACGAAAGCGAATAACCACCCTGCCAAAACAATGTGCCACGTTACAGAGAAGGTCAGTGCACTCGCTTTTGGTAGAGGCACAGAGCCAGCCAGAAGGAGAACGTAGCTGTCGTCGCTGTTGTACGAGTACGACGTGGTGTTTATTTACCACCCCACCGCACTACGCTGGTCAAGCATAGAATTGACACTGACAATGCACGACCTTGGAAATGCAATCCCCGACTGACCAGCTTGGCTAAGCAGAAAGCACTTGACGCCGCCTTGGATGAACTCATCGACACAGGCGTAGTTGAGAGGTCAAACAGCCCAAGGGGTTTTCTGGTAGTTCTAGTTCCGAAGAAAGATGATACGTATCACCTTTGTGTAGACTACTGCAGGCTGAAGGAGGTTACAAAGAAGGATGTGTACCCTCTTCCCTCCACTTCATCGTTAGTATCCAACCTAGGCCGAGCGAAGTACTTAACTACGCTTGATGCTAGCCGTGGATATTTTCAGGTTGAGAATGGATGAGCAGGATAAAGAAAAATCGCCTTTCACATGCCACAGAGGACTTTTACAATTCAGAAGAATGTTGTTTGGTTTGGTGGGCGCTCCCACTACGTATTAGAGGCTAATTGATCGTGTTTTGGGAGATGCAAAGTGGCAGCACGTGCTTGCATATCTAGACGACATAGTGGTTTACTTGAAAATGTTCGAGGAGCACTTGCGCCACTTATGAGATGTTCTAGAAAGGCTGATGTCTGCGGCCATCACTCTGAACCCAAACAAAGCTCAGATAGTGTCGACCCGAATAACATCATTGGGATTCACACTTGACGAGGGTCACATTTTGCTGGATAAGTATAAGCTTGAAGCGATAATCAGCTATCCTGTCGCCGAACAATATCAGTGAGCTGAGGTGCTTTCTGGGGATGGTGCACTTTTATCGCCAGTTCATTCCAGACTGCACGGCAGTGCAGGCGCCTTTGACGAAGCTCTTAAGGAATGATGAGCTGTTGGGCTTGGAGCCAAGAGTAAGAGGCCACACTGCACCACCTCACGAAAATGCTGGCCAACACGGCCAAGCAGTAGATATCCGATTTGAACAGCCAGTTTGTGATTCACAGAGATGAAAGTGACCTGGGCTTAGGAGCAATTCTGCTTCAGGAGCATGGAAGTTCCCTCCGACCGATTCCATTCGCGAGCCATTTGTTGACGCCAGCGGAGCAGTACTACTCGGTAATGGAAAAAGAGTGTCTTGCAATAGTTCTTGCTCTCCATATGTTTGACTTTTACATCGATAGAGTTGTGTTTGTGATTGAGACTGACCACAATGGCGCTCACATGATTGAGGCACTTGAACGAACCAAGTGGGCGCATGGCTTGTTGGGCATTGCTGCTGCAGTGTTACGATTTCATCGTTCCCTACCGCAACAGTAAGAACAATGCTGCGGCTGACGCACTATCACGTGCTCCAGTCCGACACAAGGCAAGTCACCCGACCAACTCGGAACGAACTGAGAGCGAGACACTTGCGCTAACGAAAACAGCGGAGCAAACGTTAGTTCAAGGCATAAGCGTGAACCACGTAGAGGCTGTCATTAGCAGAAGGGCGTTGTTCTTTTCAGCAGAAGGGCACTGTTAGAAGCTCAATAGAAAGATTGATTTTGTCGAAAAGTGTTCGACGGGCTCCGGAAGCCGGGTGGTAGTGAGGCCAACGCGCACATAGGACAGCTGGTATTGCTGTCAGTGCGGAGTGCTCTGCAACAGCTGGTTGTGCTGTGAGCGCAAGTGGATTCATATGTGCTGGATTCTGACAGCGTCCTGCTGAGGTACATCTCATCCGACGATGACACAAGTGAGTCATTAAAAGTCGTGATACCGCGCACGTTGAGAGGAGCACTTTTTTGCTACTTTCATGACTCGTGCATTGCTAGGCATGCGAGCGGCCCTAAGACTTACGCTAAGTTGTGTCGCCTAGCTACCTGGCCAGGCATGAAGCGGGATGTAATTTGCAAGGCCCATTCATGTCGTGTGTGCCGAAAGCGTCAAGCCAGGAGGCGGATGCCCGACCGGCCTCACGCAACCGATTAACAGCCGCCAGACTTCCTGTCAAATCGCAGCATGTGACGTAATGGGCCTGTACTCCACAACTCCTAGCAAGATCAAGTCCTTGCTGGTGGTCACTAATAACTTCACTAAACAGGTCGAACCTTTCCCCTTTAGAAAGCTGATGGCTCGAGTGATCATAGAGAAGTTGATGGGGGTTTTCACCAGGCTCGGGTTTCCTGAGCAGTTGATTACAGACAATGTGTCTTATTTGCACTACG